TTCTATTCATACTTGAAACAATAAACGCCACTTATTAAATGGATCAAAGAAATAATTAAAAATTCTTATATGATTGTAGCTCTGTAAAATCAGAAAGGTTAAAATGACTTAAAGCAGTTGAAATTAATTATGTTAAAAGTTACTACATATTAGGGTTTTAATTTCACACGCAAGTCATTAAATTTTGTAATTATTTGCATACGATAGGTGTTACGTCCCTTAAAATACATAACATAAAGATTTTCTTCTATAAAATATGTGTTTGAGTTCATTATATTTTACAGACATACAGTAATAGTAATAAATGTCCCCGTGTTATAAATAAACTAATGGTCACCCAAGAGAGCGAAATACCGCTGCAATATTTCACAGTGATCCGCGGCGACAATATTCCGCAGCGCAAATTTCCCCCGATCGAGTAGACGAGCGGAAAGTCACAACTATCGCAGGGACATCGCGGTGACAGTCCACCCGTAAACAAATCGCGGGGATCGGTGGACTTTGCTTGAGCTGTACTGTACAGCTCAAGCAATTTTTCCTCTTTCCACTCAGTCACCGCGGACACTTTTAACGGCGAACAGAAAATCGCGGGGAACATACTATAGTATCCCACGGCGACAAATCACCACGGATGGGTAGTAAAAAACCCTGCAATCCGCGGTGGAAAATCACAGAGATTTGCAGTGATTAATTTGCATATACACGTAATTGTTCATGTAAATGTACAATGTAGTCTTCTTTTAAAAAATCAAAAAGACTTACAATGTGACTGATGATTTTAATCATTCAATAAAATTATTTAGTTAGCTCCGCAATATTAATGTACATTTACCGGGGAAAATCACATCACAAAACAGTTCAATGAAAAAAGTTTCAAGAAAACGGTAAAACAAAATATTTAACGAAATCGGTCAACACTTTCAAGAAAATTAAATGCTTTGATGTTTCTGTGTAAAAAGTTGAAACGATAGCTGCTAGAACACTTAAAAAGTTTTTATTTAGAAATTCTATTCATACTTGATAATAATTGAAACAATAAATGCCACTTATTATATAATATATATGTACATTTAATAGCGGCCAATCTTAAGAAGTTGTTAAATCCAATCAAGGAACTAATTTATTTATTCTTTGCTCAAGACCGCTTAATTAAGCAATTTACACCTACAAAAATTAAGCAATTAGCACATACACCTAATAGTGCAGCCGTGGACTAGTTCATGTACGTAATTATATATAATAGTTTAACAAACATTTCCTTAACATATGTTTTTATGTAAACTTTGCAAAATGCCATTACGAAATCTGATCAAAAGCCACAATTTTTTTGTCATTAAATACGACTGTGATGGGAAAATGCAATTAAGAAGTCGAGAATTACTTCTCCATAATAATGAGGTGAGTGTCATAGAAATAAATTAGAATCTATCTCATTACTTATTATACAACTACAGTAGTCCACGGTATGCGCTATCTAAAAATTTAGATCTGTGATCATGATGAAATAAACATATTTGTTACATCTTTTTTTCAGATCATAACCGTTAATGCGACATTAAATATTTCAAATAGAGAAATGTTTAGTTCAAAAGTAAATTTGTGTGTATTATATGCTACAACCCACTTAAACTTTAGTTCTCGTCAATATTTGGAGGGAAGGTAATTAACACACGTAAATTTAACAGAAAAAATCGTTTAAATGGATCAAAGAAATAATCAAAAATTCTTATATGATTGTAGCACTGTAAAATCAGAAGGTTAAAATGGCTTCAAGCAGTTGAAATTAATTATGTTAAAAGTTACTACATATTAGGGTTTTAATTTCACACGCAAATCATTAAATTTTGTAATTATTTGCATACGACAGATGTAACATCGTTTAAATACATAACATAAAGATTTTCTTCTCTAAAAAATGTGTTTGAGTTCATTATATTTTACAGACATACAGTAATAGTAATAAATGTGTAATAAATAAACTAAAAGTCACCCGAGAGAGCAAAATATCGCTGCAATATTTCACAGTGATCCACGGTGACAATATCCCACAGCGCAAACTTTCCCTGATCAAGTTGACGAGCGGAAAGTCACAACTATCGCAGGGACATCGCGGTGACAGTCCACCCGTAAACAAATCGCGGGGATCGGCGGACTTTGGAAAAATTGCTTGAGCTGTACTGTATGTGGCTTGAACATACAGCAGTGACAGGCAAGTGGTCAACAATATATAAATCTATTCATATTCTGGCTTTAAATATATAATCAAACAAGAGCTGCTATTAAAACAGCATGCTCAACTAGGATATTCTCAGTGCTTGATAGTGAAACAAGAGCCTGGATAATGTAGAATTTTCTAAGTTTTAAAAAGGGGCCATAATTCTATAAAATTCCATGTTAGAGTTATGGGCCTTGACCTCCTACTATGCTCTCAAATAAGTGTGTCAACCCATTCCCTTGATAAGTTTTGGAGAAATATACTTGCACACAAAAAAACTTAACCAAAATATAACGACCATGTCAAAGTCTGGGTCAGTATTATAACTCTCTGAACTCTTCAAACTAAAAATTGTAAAAAAATTCAACTTGACAATGATTTTATGTTTGAATTTTTCTGCTTGCTATCAATGCCAAAATGAAAAAAAATCCTAGCCACTTTGTTAACAATTTTGCCCCAGTTGCCTAAAGTCTGTTTTAAAACTTTTTTATATTTTCATTCTCTATAGATACTTATAAATTATATCCATGTTGTTTCAAACAATTCTCTTTTTGCTGACTAATGGCATTTGGAATGATATTCAGGATAAATATGAGAAAATCAAATAGAAATAAATTGTCACAAATTATTTTCAAAATATTTTCAACTATCATTATTTACTTATGGTAAACATTTTTACCATATTTTCAATATATCAATAAGTTTTCTGTTTATTCTTAAGCGAATGAATATCCAATTTTAACTAACAAAAAAAGGAAACTTGTTGTGTGTTTACAAAAAAACATTCTTTGGAATATAAAAAACCAATATTTACAAGAAAAACATGCTGTGAAATCAATTATTCTACTTTAAAAGCTTTTAAATAAAAAGTAAATAGACATGTATCTTAAACACTAGAATTTCTAAAACTGTGAACTTTGACATTTAGGGCCTCAACACGAAATTAAACGTACCAGTGCATTAAATAATTTATTATTATTAAAGTCTTTTTCATCAGAGATCCCTGTTGTAAAGTAAAAACCAACTAGCAAAATCATTTGCAATCGACAAAAATCATAATTCATTTCTTACTTTTTAAAGGGCAAACTTGCAATTGTAGTGCTGTTATTTCAGTCTGATCTTTCTTGCAATCTTAATGATCCATTATGCCTTAGAAATGCTTTTATTGTGTCGCCTCTATGGAGTAGTGGTGATATATATGGATCACTTCTCCCTCGTCCTACAATTGGCTAATTTCAAATCTTATCTTTAAATTCAACCAATCAGATATCAGAGAATTTTAGGGTGTGTCGTTAATTTGCATCAATTTAAAAATTTGTAAACAGTCTGGAAGAATTTGTCACCTACAGATTATAAGTCAGTTAAAGCTGCATGCCTTCACATGAGCCAAATTATTTCAAGAAAAACAAACATGAGAAAAATGGACTAAGATTGTATGAAAAGTAAAAAGATTCAAGAAATAATTTACATGTTTAATGCCATAAATAAAATTTTGCAGCATTTATGACCATATTTCTAATGAATGACTAATGCAGTTAGGGTTATTTTGCATATAGGAATAATTAAAGGGCCATATTAAAACTCTTAACAAAATTCATTGAACCATAAAAAGTCGATGATATGCGCAACTAGACTTGGTACTGATCATTCCTGTAATGTTTGGATGAAATTGCACAAGTATTTTTTGAGAATTAGTCCAGACAAGCTTTTGTGTATCTGGCAACACGCAGAAAAAAACATTATAAAAGGGCCATAACTCGGCCAAAAATCATTCAACGGGAAAACCCGTGAAATATGCACAAGGACTTGAGCTACAGATCAATCCTGTAAAGTTTCATTGAAATAACTCAAGACAAAAATCATTGGACCGGAAAATGCTGAAGATATGCACAACTAGACTTAATACTGATCATTCCTGTAAAGTTTGGATGATATTGCACCAGTAGTTTATAAGGAGTAGTCCAGACAAGTTTTGTGACGAACAAACAAATAGATGGACAGACAGACGGATGACGGATAAGTGATCCATATATGTCACCACTACTCTGTAGAGGCGACACAATAGAGCATTTCTCTAAGGCATTATGGACCATTATGATTGCAAGAAAGAGAGGATGAAAAATTATTTAGCAAAATACTTCAATAATGAAAACTTACAAATAACCATCTGTATATTAACTAGAATACCAAAATTGATTTCATTTTGAAAGCTACTGGCACTATGAGCTAATTTTTAAATTTAAACAATATTATCCACCAGTCATTTGTAACTCTGACCCCTAACAGGGATTTTCACTTTAAGTCAAACAAAGCTAATCCTGCACTGTCAGATGGTAAAAATACCTGCTCATTTCACAGTGATAGTGTTAAGATATATCCCCACTTATTTTTGGTGCAAAATTACAAAATTAAAACCACTGTATTGACCAAGCTTAGCAGGGACACCTGAAAGGAAAGGAATGGCTCATTTGTCTTGCTGATCCATGCAAAACTATGCTAGTTGGTGTGTGGGAATGGGGTGTGTGTGGGTGGGGTATGGGGAAATGGGGAGGGGCAATATAGTTACAAATGAATGGTTCATCTGTATTGACCAAGCTGTGCAGGGACAGCTTAAAGGTAAAGAATTGCTCATTTGTCTTGATGATCCATGTAACTATGCCAGTTGTTGTGTGGGGGTGGGGGATGTTGGTGGGTGGGGGATGCAGGGTTGGAGGTGGGGCAATATAGTTTCAAATTATTGGTTCAAAACCTTGCAGCTGCATGAAATAATACATAAATGGCTTACCTGTCGTTGCTCCTTCATTCTGGCCTCAAGACCTCTCTGCTCATCTTTCATTCTGGTCATCTCCTCCTGAAAATGTTTGATCCTCTCTCTGTGCTCCCGTTCAAGTCTGTCCTGTGTTTGCTGTACTGCCCAGTCCTTATCATCCTCCAAGTTCTTTCTCTCCTTACTGACAGCTTCTTGAACCTTAAATATTGCACAAATACATAGAGGATATTCAAGTTTTTCTCTCCTTACTGATGGCTTCTTGAACCTTAAATATTGCACAAATACATAGAGAATATTAAAAGTTTTTCTCTCCTTACTGACAGCTTCTTGAACCTTAAATATTGCACAAATACATAGAGAATATTCAAGTTTTTCTCTCCTTACTGACTGCTTCTTGAACCTTAAATATTGCACAAATACATAGAGAATATTCAAGTTTTTCTCTCCTTACTGATGGCTTCTTGAACCTTAAATATTGCACAAATACATAGAGAATATTCAAGGTTTTCTCTCCTTACTGACAGCTTCTTGAACCTTAAATATTGCACAAATACATAGAGGATATTCAAGTTTTTCTCTCCTTATTGATGGCTTCTTGAACCTTAAATATTGCACAAATACATAGAGAATATTTATGTTTTTCTCTCTTTACTGACTGCTTCTTGAACCTTAAATATTGCACAAATACATAGAGGATATTCAAGTTTTTCTCTCCTTATTGATGGCTTCTTGAACCTTAAATATTGCAAAAATACATGGAGGATATTCAAGTTTTTCTCCCCTTACTGACTGCTTCTTGAACCTTAAATTTTGCACATATACATAGAGGATATTCAAGGTTTTCTCCCCTTACTGACTGCTTCTTGAACCTTAAATTTTTGCACAAATACATAGAGGATATTCAAGTTTTTCTCCCCTTACTGACTGCTTCTTGAACCTTAAATATTGCACAAATACATAGAGGATATTCAAGTTTTTCTCCCCTTACTGACTGCTTCTTGAAGCTTAAATTTTGCACAAATACATAAAGGATATTCAAGGATTTTTTTTATTAATACAGGATTTATTTTTTTGAGTGGAATTAAAATAAATATTTCACAAGTGGGGGTAGTCATGAGTGAAATGTGATAATTTTCATACCACATGATGAAAATAATATTTTTTATAAAAGATAGAAAAAACTTGAATTTTCTGTTAGATATACAGTCTAACTTGCCCATGCGACCACGTGTATTAAGCGACTTTTGTCTTAAACGACCACTTTAAATTCCCCCCGATCATTTTCTCTCTATATCTTTAATGTATTAAGCGACTTTTGCTCAACGCGACCAGCGACCGCTAATTAGTCACCTAATTGAGATAAAGCTTTTCATTAAACGACCACTTTTACCTGTCAAGTAATTGTGTTTTTAGAGAACGCCGCCGTGTAATGTGACAAGTGTGTCAAACAATCAAAACACAACAAATAAACGTGTGAAAAATCTCTATTTCCCAAACCGGTTTAGCGTATGCAAATGAAGGTAAGTATACGCGTGACGTTTATTATCCAATAATATCGGATAAACAATGCAACGCTCCGCCCCTACTGAGATAGTGTATACGCTTGGCTTGTTGACATTTAGACTGCATTGAATTGACCTTGAACTTGATCAGCAGTTAAATTTATCGTAACAATTAGATGTAGTTTGTTTATTTCAAATGAAAAAATGCACAACAGAAAACATCTTCACTATTAGGGTTTTCGTGTTGGAGACAAGGAAAAACAACGGAGAAGTTAACAAATTCTGGAAAAAATGTCAAACATGTACGTAATGGATCAAAACTGTTTTGCACCCCGTTTTGTCAATAAATATCAGAAAGTTATTTTTTACATTTGCATCCATTTAGATTATCGGAGCGTACTAATTATTCAACATTTATATAAAAATGAAGTTAAAAAGCATTCCTACCGCATAAGAAAGATGTCATTTATAAATTTTGACTTTTATATCATGCTGACTGTCTTAAGAGACCGTTTCATTAAGCGACCGTTTTGGGTGTTTCCCTTGCGCGGTCGCTTAATACACGTTTGACTGTATACATTTTCTCTTTTTTAACCTTATGATTAGAAAGACTTCTCTTTTAATTTTGTGTATTGGCTGAATTTAGAAGAAGGTAGTCCCACAAGACACCAGTAAAAATACGGAAAACATGCATAATGTCAGATCTAGCCACTCAGGACAACGGACATTTCCAGTGTTTATAGTTTTAAGCAAATTAGCTGACTGGTTCCTAATTGCTACATTAGAATAATGCATGATCATTGGTTAACCTGGTTTACACAAAAGAACACATGGTTTTGTTGGTCAGATACGGTTTGTGAGACATAGATGTTACCCGGAACTCGTCAAATATGTGTTTTTCCAAGCTAATCCCCCCGGTACATACAAACTTTTACCATTTTAACTTCAAGGTGCACTACCGATCACAATAGATTAGTTAACCTGCTGTGCTTATTTTCTAAGCTGTAACTGTGAAATTTTGCTTGTAACCCCAGATTAGCTGGGAAAAACCCAAAATATTCTTAATTCCAAAGAAGTCTGTTCATGTACCATTGAAAAGACAAGGCGGGACTAAATTTTGCACTATTTAACAAACTGGAAAGGTCCACAAGAAAGAAATCCAGAGGTGCATGTTTGTATAAAGAAGAGGTTGTTACTATAAAATCATAAATAAATTATGTTCAGTCTGTTCAAATAATAATAACATGATTTGTTTGTTTGTTTGTTTCATTTTACGCCTTTTCCCAACAGTATTTCAGTCATATAGGCGGTAGTTTTCTAACCATCGTTCCTGGAGAGTTAGACCAGTACTACACTACCTTCCACCGCGCATCTCCCGGAGATCAAACCCACGCCAGAGAGGTAACTGGATTAGAAGTCATCGACTCTAGCCCCTCGACCATGGAGGCGGTTAATAACAACATGAAAGAACTCATATCACCAATTAATTCATTTAATATTAGGTCAATTCTAATTATGTAATATGCATAAATTCATATCTAAATCAATGTGTTAATATGGCACATTATGTCATAAATTTCATCCTTTTAAAGAAATGTGATTTCTTACAACATTCAGTAATTATTTATGATAAATGTGATGACTTTGATAAATGTGATTTCTTACAACATTCAGTAATTATTTATGATAAAAAAATAATATTAAAAGTTATAATATGTAACACTATCAATAATGATATTAAGTCTTTTAAGATATTATTATTATAATATTCTTGTTTGTCATTTTCAACTCATTTTCTTTTTATTTATTTACCATTATATTTGGGGGAAAGACCATCAGATCAAAGGCCACAGACACAGAACCGATTCCCTCCCTCTCATCCACAGTCAACATCACACAGTCACTGGAAACAGCCAGTAACAAAATACAGAAATTCAGAAAAGAGCTTCGGGAATTTCAAGAAACCAAGGACATATCCCCCAGGCCAAAAGAAAAGAACAATGTAAATCAGCATGTAAGTATTGGTAATCAATCTTACTGTTTAATAAATACTATAGACAACTTCATAGCTGGTAAAACAAAAAACTATCTTTCTGAATGGGAAAAATTAACAAGTGATAAATGGATTTTACAAACTATTACTGGATACCATGTAGAACTTGATACAGAACCATTTCAAACTTTTTTGTGCCTAACCAAAATAAAATTCAGTTTGGTAGATAATAATAAAATAGAAAAAAGAACTTATTCGGTTTTTAGATTGTGGTATAATTCAGAAAGTTAATTCTCTACAAAGATTCAAATGAGTTTATCTCAAACATTTTCATAAGACCAAAGAAAGAGGGGAAGATAAGAGTTATCCTAAACTTAAAAGTATTTAACAATCACATAGAGCATATTCATTTTAAGATGGAAACTTTACACAATGCAATAAACTTAATGCGGAAAGGACTGTTTCTTTGGATCTGTGGATTTATCAGAAAGTTATTACTCTATTCCAATAGTAGCAGAAGATAGAAGATACTTTAGATTTTATTACAACGGCCAAAAATATGAATTTCAAGCATTAGTCATGGGTCTAACTACAGCACCCCGGGTGTTTACAAAAGTTTTAAAGCCAGTTTTTGCGTCATTGAGAGAAAAGGGGCACATAAGTACAGCATATATAGATGATTCATGTTTACAAGGTCAATCGTTTGAAGAGTGTCAAAATAATATTTTAGAAACAGTCAGCTTGATGGATAGTTTAGGACTAACAATCAATCCAACGAAATCGGTTTTAATGCCAACTCAGCAAATTTCATTTGTAGGATTTATTCTCTGTTCCAAAACAATGACAATAAGACCAACTCAGGAAAAACTTTTAAATATCATTCAAATATGCCGAGATATTAAATCATCTAAATTTGTGACCATCAGAGAATTTGCAAAATTAATAGGTATGCTTGTAGCATGTGAGCCTGGTGTTCGATATGCGCCTTTATTTTATAGACCGTTAGAACACATTAAGGAAACTAATCTTAATTTGGAAAAAAGAGGAAATTACAATGCTTTTATGAAAATAACTCACGAAATTCAAAAATCAAATTGATTGGTGGATAAAAAATTTAGGAACAATTTTCAAACCAGTCTCTGAAGGAAATCCAGACTGTACAATAGCATGTGATAGCAGCTTGCAAGGCTGGGGCGCGGAAATAATAACTGAAAAAATCCTTCACTCAGGGAGTTTGGTCAATTGAAGAACAAGCTTTACACATTAATGTTTTAGAATTAAAAGCAAGTAAACTAGCAGTGATGGCATTAGCCAAAAACAAGTCAAACATTCATTTAAGGATTTTAAGTGACAATACGACAACTTGTGCTTACATCAATAAGTTTGGGGGCAAAATAAAGCAATTGAACGAAATTGCAAGAGAACTCTGGTTTTGGGCCATTTCTAAGCAAATCCACATAAGTGCGGCTCATATTCCGGGTAGCAAAAATATAGAAGCAGATACATTATCTAGAAAATATAAAGATGACCTAGAGTGGTCTCTTGAAGAATATATCTTTTCTAAACTTATAAGTTTTTATGGAAATATGCACATTGATATGTTTGCATCACGGCTGAATGCCAAACTAAAATATTATATTTCAAGATATCCAGAACATGGGGCTTATGCTGTTGATGCTTTCAGTTTAAACTGGAATACTGGAACTTTACTTTACATGTTTCCTCCTTTCAGTCTCATTCCAAAGATCTTACAGAAGGTAGAGACAGACAGGGCAGAGGCTCTCTTAGTGGCACCAATATGGAAAACACAGAATTGGTGGCCATATCTACAAAAAATGTTGTGCCAGAATTGGCTAATACTTCCTCCGGCCAGAAAAATCTTGCGACTGCAGCACAAACCGGAGCACAAACATCCGCTGAAACATCTGAGACTAGGTGTTTTTCGTATATCAGGGACGCATTACGAAGGCAAAACATCGTGGACGAGTCAGCAAATATCATAATGTCATCATGGCGCAAATCTACCAGAAAGATAATTATATGCTGTTTATATTAACCGCTGGATTAGGTTTACTGATAAGAATAATTTAAATCCACTGGCGCCTAAACCTGCTAATGTGATAACATTTTTAACCTCTATGTATAATTCAGGTCTGGGATACAGTGCCATTAATACAGCTAGATCAGCTATTAATCAGTTAGTTCACATGTGTTCGGGACTGGATTTTAAGTGTTGTACTGTAATAAATAAATTTATGAAGGGTGTGTTTGAATTAAGACCTGCTTTATCAAAATATAACCATATATGGATGTTCAGTCAGTTCTAGATTTTATTAAACAGTTACCATCAGAGTTGACATTGATGACATTAACAGGAAAATTGGCAGTATTGTTTTTATTACTAACAGCACAACGCTGCCAAACATTACATTTAATTTGTTTAGAAGATATCATATTTGTAGATAATAAAATGATCATTAAACTTAATCATATGTTAAAACAGTCTAAGCCAGGCAGACACCCCGCACCATTACATCTAAACGAATATTCAGCAGACCAAAGGTTGTGTATAGTTACAGTATTCAAGGAATATATTGAGAGGACGAAAAGTCTAAGAATGAATAATAAACTTTTGATTGGGACACAAAAACCCCACAAATCTGTAACTAAGTCAACTGTTGCTAGGTGGATAAGAATGTTTTTGAATAAGGCTGGGGTACTAGAGCATTATACTCCCCATAGTATAAGGACAGCAGCAGCAAGTTCTGCAAACTCTAGAGGCATTCCTCTTTCTTGTATACTTAAAACTGCGGGCTGGCAAAATGCTAGAACATTTAATAAATTTTATAATAAACAGATTGTGGAAGATCATACTATGCAAATGTGCTTACTGGATTAGTAAATTGTCATAATTTTAAAATGTGCTTTGCCTTATATTCAATGTTATACTTTACATGTACATGATTTCAAAAAATTATTATTTCAAATACAAGTATAACACCATATGGAAGTTATTTGTCAAATCATTTATTTTACAAAAACTTGAAGCTTTGACAGAGAAATATCTCTAAAATCTCTGTGGGGCCCTATCAGGAGTTATGCAGTCAATAAAATTGAATGATTAAACAAGACTTACCGACGAAGGAGGGAAGTTGAAGTTTGATCTGGATTTTATTGACTGCAAACTCCTGAAGGGCTCACACCCACCCACCCATACCCAAATTTTGATTTCTCTGTACATGCGCTTTTTCATGTCTAGTTTTGTTTTATGGAAACAAAACTAGACACTAGGACTCTAAAGACTGAATCTGCATAAGTAATGAGCTACGTCATCTCTCTGTGTGAGCCCTTCAGGAGTTTGCAGTCAATAAAATCCAGATCAAACTTCAACTTCCCTCCTTCGTCGGTAAGTCTTGTTTAATCATTCAATTATATTTATATAAACAATTTGTATTATACAATGTATATGTATATGTACATGTATATAGGAATTAAAGAGACATAATCATGTAACAATTTTAATGCCTCTGAACAATCTCATATGCAGTGATCTCCCCTTATCAGTACAGAGATTACATTTCTGCCAAGGGAGGTAATCACTGTGAGAGAAGTTTGGCCTCTAGAGCGAGGTTACCTCCCTTGTAATTAAGATGGAACTTAAGAATTTGCATCTTTTGATAGGTCGTAGGGTTTGTAATAATGATTTAAGGCTAAGGATGGGCTACTGTGAACTAAATTGTTTAAATCTTGGTGTAGATTTAATTTAATTCTAGAACAAAAACTTCTCAAATGTAAGGACAGAAAATTTTGGCTATTGATCATGCTGATTATGCTTAAAATTGTTTGTAGGGAGTTTTATTTTACCTGCATTTTTATTTCATCCTCCATGTTCACCTTACTTCTAGTCAGATCTGTTTCTAATTTAGCAGCTAATTTACTCAAATGTAAAATCTCATCTGATTTAGCCTGTAACAAACATTTAGCATAAAATGTATCCACAAAATAAGTTAACTACAAAATATACCTAACTTAGCATAAAATGATCACACAAGTATACACCAAACTTTGTTCTTAGCATAAAAAAGTCACACAAAAAAATTATATATTAAAATTTGATCTAGTTTAGCATCAAACAGCCACAAAAAATACATGTAAACTGCTATTGCTAAATTAAGTTCTCATACTTCACAGATAACTTTTTTCCATCATCACCTGCATTCTAAAACAAAATTGTTGCATAAAATAGCCAGAAAGCAACTACTAAAATTGTGTCTAAAAAATGATTTTGCAATCGGCTGCAATTATTCAATCTTTAAAAAATAGCAATAAGCTCTTATTTTTGCAGTAGCTCGCTAAAATCATTTTAATAACTACTTAGTACTAGCCATTTCAAAAATACATAAAGAAGTAACAGAGCAACTGCTACTATTTCCTATAAAATTTCACCAGAATCTACTCTGAAAGTCAAGGACGGAAAGATATCTTGTGAAGGCTTTTCTTTCTACTTTTAGTTTTGGCACCCATCCTGTTATATGGACCATAATTATATCAGACCATAATTATATAAAGTTTATAAAGAAAACTTGTGACTTATGGTAACCAATTATAAATTCCTATTTTGATTAATTTGTTTGCAAAAAACTTTCTTTTAAGAGCAACCTAACAGCAAAGACCACTTTGTTTTATTCCGCATTGGGCTTTAAAGACAGGTTTTTATTGTAACTATGTTTCATCTATATCTTGTAAATAAAGCTGAGATAGTTATAAAACTAAAAAAACCAAATAAAAATACAATATCTTCTGCTGCTGATATTTGCCTAAGATACATGTACCTTGATGTAAAGTGACCCACAGTATGGCAATAAGACAAAACGGAATTATGGACTTCAACTTTAACCAAAGATATTAAAAAAACCCAAAATATTTAGACTTAATTTAAACTGTAGCACATTTCAATTCTAGCCAAACAGTGTGGCCGAGTGGTTAACATGTCGGACTAGTAATCTAAGGATTGTTGACCACATGGGTTCAAACCCTGTCAGGGCTAGCCGTTGTTTCCTTCAGCAAGAAACTTTACATTTATTCCATTCCAGGAACGGATTTGAGAGTGTTTCAATAAGCTAATATAGCTTCCAACACAATCAAACTAAAATAAATTTGTATAAACTCAACTAATTCTAGCCAAACATGATGTAGCCAAACTATGTCTTCATACCTTAATGATTGTCTCAAGCTCTGTGATTTGTGCCGCATACCTTTCCTCTGTACGTGCCGCGATGTCCCGTCTCTCCTGATCTAACTCTTCACGCATCATATCAACTGTCTTCTGCTTCTCAAGGAATAACGACTCTCTCATCTGAACCATGGCTGTGTCCTGAAATACAACCGGATATTTAATGTAAAACTTCAATCATTTTTCCAGCCCGCTTCCTGGAACTAACCACTACTCAGCTGTCAAACAAGGAAAGTTAGTGAAAATAAGTAGGGCTCTAACTGGCAACCCCTGTATTTAGCAGCTGATGCCTAAACCACAAACCGCTGTTTCTCTTTTGTGAACACTGGAAAGCTCAGGCAAATAATAGTTTAATGTTTACATTGGTGAAGAAAACACAAGTAACACATTGCTGTTAATTGCCTCTTCAAGCTTTCCTTTCATTTTTTTTAAATTTAAACTTTTTAAAATTAATCATTATACTCATTTCCTCAGTATCAAGAATGTTTAGTGATGATTTTTATATTTGTGACAACCCCTTTATCAGGAATTTACCAACATTCTTCATTCCATTTCGGTTCTTTAGTATATTTTTTCGTCATGATAAAAACAAAATTTAATATTCTACCAATGATCAACACCCTAACATAGCTTTAAATATAATCTCCAAGGAAATTGCCGTATAACTTACAGTATCTTTTCTAAGAGTCTGAAGGGTCTTTTTGTGTTCGTCGAGGATCGAGTTACGACTGGTTTTCTCGTTGTCATACTTCTCTTGCAGCGTCAAAATCTGATCCCTACAACATACAAATCATATGTCATTACAAATTATGGCATTACAATTTCTACATTTAATTTTACAAAGCAAAAGTATATAATTATATCAATATGTCTGCTTTATTAAAAATTAAGCAACAAGTATAATAATCAATATGTTCTAGTGTTTTTTCCAATGTTTTATTTCAGACATATCAGGCATCAACATAGAGGCATTTAGTCTGGATTGCTGAGGTATCAAATTTTAAGGAACTCTACTGAGGTCCAAATACCTAAAAACATCATATTTAATTTTATACATTGATCTGCTGGGGCACATAAAACAGAAAAAATTCCAAAAGATAATAAGTTATACAGTTACGCAGAAATATATTGAAAATCATATGTTTGTGTCTGTTAGCCCAATTTGAGTGAAAAGCATTGCAACACTTTTATATTTTTGGACATTTTTCACAAATAAAATTATTGTTCTGGAAAAAAAGAGTGAGGGAATGATCTGAAAGTTTGCACACGTTTTCTGTCTGATTTACCTACATCAAAAAGAATATTAATCTTGAAAAAAAAAATCCAGTCCTGTCATGTCAAAAAAACATCAGTGGAGTCCCTTTTATTTGACATTGTTGACAAATGGAAATATTTACTTTTTAATGCTTTCAAGCAGGGATGCTTATGCAAGTCTGCAAATCAATGCAATTATAGCAGTTTTAGGCCACATGCAAGATTAGCACTTCATGAGCATTTTTTTATATTTGGCTACAAAAATTTGTTCACTATGTATGAATACATTTTGTGAATGTTACAAACCTGAGCTGTAAATGTAGTTCCTCTTTTGCCCTTACTTCATCTTGTAACCCAGCGACCTTATTTGTCATTCTGATAAGATCTTGTCTCATTGTTTCCATCTCGTCTAAGTTACGTTTACGTAACTCACTTTTCTCCGTCTTGTACTTTTCACGTTCCTCTTCATAATGACGAGTTTTCTCCTGAAAAAAAAAATGCAAATTTTTATTTTTCTAAAATGTTTTAATATCTTTAAAAAAAAACAAAAAACATTTTTACAATGGACTTAAGGTTGGTTCCATTAGTTGACTGGGTCCAATGTACCAATTTCAATCAAGCAGCACTAGTCATGTAGACTATATTAAAATAATGGCATATAAGATCTTCCATACTTTTTGTTATTTTATAAAGGTCAAAGGTCAAGAATTGCATTTCATTATATTTAATACTATCTTTTTGTCACATATGGCAGATAAATTGTAGATTTTAAGAAAGATGCAACTGCTTTTTAGAAAAAAATCACCTTTTCTGAAAGTTTCATAATGTAAAATAATGTAAAACTACCATTGCTATATAAATAACTGGTAAAGAATTGTAGCCATATTATATATATCAATAACAACTAATTTGCTCCATTCTAATCATAACATACACAATGTTTGACATGTCTCTGTAACTTAAAGTGATTTTAATTCACATATACTACTCCGCGCGGGTACCGCGTCCTTGCCTATTCCGGTGCAATCAGAAAATGTGTTTCTTTACACACTGAACGGACCCAATTGAATGATTCCATCATTAAAGTGAAAGTGGAAGTGCTGCTTTTTTAATTCGGATAAAAATTGTTAGAAACATTTTCATTTTAAATAAATTTCTGTCATTGATAGGAAATCCAAAACTACCCGAGTGTGTTGGAAATATTTTTAAATTTTACCCCACATTTACCAGTTAAACTGATAATTTCATGTTCTGACAAGTGAAGGTCGTCTGCTGAAACTGTAGTGAGGTCATATTTTATTGAAAATGTTCTACTGAAGCCAAAAAGGGCCATCAATTTACATACCACGGTACCATAGTGCTCTCCGTTTAAGCTGCCATTCAAAACATGGCTGAATGACCATAGATGTTTCTAATTTAAATCATTGAGTTATTCAATGAATGACGGGTGTATTTTAAAGGCAAGATGCGACAGTTAAACACAGCGTATTAAAATAGTAAATACAAGTTCTATTTATGTGTACAATTTGCTGGAAATAATAACAACAGTGGAACCATAGGGGACCATCCTAACATTTTTATTTGTTTGGGTCGTCAGACCAAACTAATAATGGTAGCGAAATTTCAGACCCTGATGCTATTAATTGCAAATGCCGAAAGTAGTCTGCTTTTTTGAAGCCGTTACTTCCCTTTATATGTACACTAACAACGAAAAATTCAGGGGAGATCACTGCGTAAAGATTGTCAAATGACAGGCGCTTTAATTTTCAAGCAAAATAGTTCCCGATTGGTCGAAGATTTCTTATATTGTTTTATTCTTTATAGATATACATGCTTATAGTAAGCTCCATGATTATTTACATCTGTGTTAAACAACAGGTTTAGCGTCGAAATAATAAGAGTTACAAACCCTAATTTAGAATAATATGGTTTTCTTCAGGTCGTTAACATATAACTTCACCGTGGCCGAGGGGTTTGCACACTCGCTTACGGATCGAGAGGTCTGGAGTTCAAATCCCAGTAAAGGCAACTCATTTTTTTTTTAAATTGTTAAAGTCAAATAAACATTGAATCGAATATCAGTGTTGCATCTTTCTGACATTATGAGACCCAAACAAATTCAGCGCCTTCTGTGCTTTGATTATACAGTGTTGCACCCATTATCAGTATATTACTAAGCTTTTGACGAGTAAAAATGGTTCAATATAGATACTGCAGAACTCGGTAAATGTAGTTTTTTTTTCCCCATCTTACCCAGCCTCAGGGGTACAAACAAACTTTTACAGTTACAGCTTGGTAAAAATATTTTAAAAATAAGAAAAATGCGCTGATCACTTTCTTGTGAACTGGTGAGATAAAGTGTACTGTTGTTGCTCAAATAGTAAAAGCACAAAAACAATCATAAAAGGTCATCACATCTATATATAGCACATGTGAGACTATAAGCTCTGCACCTTACAAGTATTAAACTGTTAAAAATAATTAAAACATATATACTATACAAATACACATATAAGACTACTAAATTTATAAATGAGCAGGTATGAAACAACTAAATTATTAGAGAACAGGCATGAAACTACTAATTTATTTAATTGCAATATATTTCTATTGCACAAGTCATGTAAATAGGCAATGATAAATTCTATATTGTTTCCATCTTACTATATATTTCAAACTTAACCCTGTATTTAAGGAAATATGTATACCTTTGATTAATGAATGACACGCATAAACAGAGTCTTACATCACATAGGGATAAGAAGCTCAAAAACAAGAAAATTTTACAATGCTGACCCAAACTGATTCCCTTGTGCAGGATTCATTAGCCTTTGGAGTTTATCAATTTCTGCCATCTTGTTTTTTTTATATCAAATTTGTTTACACTTTCACAATATTGAGAATAATTTACACTTTCTTTATCTTTATTGCTTTTTCTTTACATTTTGGCAACTTCTTTTTTGTTACTTTTTTCAAAAACCATAACACTTTTTTGATAACATGGCAGCCTACATATTGGTAAATTTCCTCGTATTATAAACATGGTCCTGGAAAATCTAGCAAAAATGTAATCTTGTGGGATAATAAATCGCTTCCTCTACAATTCAAATACTGCTCTGGGGCATTAACATGCTGACACAAAATTGTATTTTACTTACTGTCATATACTCACAATAACAATATATGAGCCGCGTCGTGACAAAACCAACATAATGCGTTTGCGATCCGCGCAGTCTGGTCAGGATCCATGCTGTTCACTTTGGTCAGGATCCATGCTGTTCACTATCAGTTTCTCTACTTGTAATAGGGTTTGTAAGTGAACAGCATGGATCCTGATCAGACTGCGCAAATGCGCATGCTGGTCTGGATCCATGCTGGTCGCAAACGCACTATGTTGGTTTTGTCGAGACGCGGCTCATTTTAATTAGTCTTATCAAACTTCCTGACATGAAAGGATCTAAAGCCTCTAATGGAATTCAATTACACAGCGGTGAGGGCAAGTGGTTTGCAGTCAATGACCTTAACAGCTCAACCACTGTACATATGAGCCGCGTCACGACAAAACCAGCATAGTGGGTTTCTGACCAGCATGGATCCAAACCAGCCTGGGCATCCGCGCAGTCTGATCAGGATCCATGCTGTTTGCTATCAGTTTCTCCACTTGTAATAGAGTTGGTAAGTGAACAGCATGGATCCTGATCAGACTGCGCGGATAAGCAGGCTGGTCTGGATCCATGCTGGTCGCAAACCCATTATGTTGGTTTTGTCATTGCACGGCTCATATATTCATTTAAGATAATGAAATCCCTTTATAGAAATACATGATTGTGTTCTAAATTTTAAGCAGGGTTACTTTTTGTAGTCCACTTTTACAAATTTAGACAATTAGGATAAAGTAAATATAGCATTATTACATGATATTTACCATAAATAGCATAAACATTTTTAGTGCCTTTTTGCAGAATTACTAACATAGATTTTATGACTTGTTATCAACAATTAGCATTAGATTAGCGACTTTTTAACTACATGTCAACTAAACAGTGATCCACTGGTTTGATTACTTACCTCAGAATTAATTGCCTGTTAAAGTGAATACATGTATATAAGATAAAAACTAGACAGTGATGTGGTACTATCAACAGATAGTTCTGACCAATATATAATTACCTCCCTTGGCAAAAAGGTGACCATTTGGTACTCAATGTTCTATATACTTTGTAATATAATTGACAAATATGATTTTTTTATGTTTACAGCTGATTTAGGTGAATTTTTCAATTCTTTTATACAAATCAAAAAATATATTTTCATAGCTCACTTATATGTGAAAGATTTGTATCAGTTTTCATGAAGATTATAGAATTGTGAGAGATTTTTATCTGATGTTCATCATATGATATACTTGTAACCCTCAAAATGGTCCTAGGGAGGTAAGACATGATATAACCAAGTGAAAAGCATTTTTTATGATTGAATAGGTAAATCTTTTCAATGATATTATTAAAATTGAATAAGAACAATAATTTTCACACACATTAATTTTGCTTTTCTTTGAATGTTTTATAATATATTAATTCGTATATATTTCTGTTTAAAGTTCCCCAGCTCATTCTTGAAAGAAATTCAAATGTTTTTTTTTTAGGATTATAAACCTCAGTGGAGTCCCTTTAACATTAAATCTAGATGAATGCTGATTATTATAAAACTTTGATCTATCTTGTTGAATTTCTGGCTTATTTAACTTCACACATGAAAATGATAAACACTGTATTTATCACAATATTCCACCTGCATGACTAATGCAGTAATGGCTGAATTTGTATATTTTTGGTAAAAATTGTAGACTTTAAGTGCTGTTTGCATTGTGTCAATTACTGTCTTTGCTCACCTTACAATGTTTTACTTTTTAATACATTTACAAAAAGAATTCATGAAATTTAGCATAAAACTAGAGGTGTGAGGCTTTTAATATTCATGTGTATGATAATGCTTTTACCTGAATTAGTTCATTTTTTTCTTTCTCCATTTTCCTGTATGCAGCTTCAAGTTTCTGCAGTTTTTTATTGGCTTCATCCCTCTCAGTCTGTGTTTGCTCATATGTACTTGTAACATTCTCAATCTCCTGAAAATAATCATAACTTTTTTTATGTTTATTGTAGTTTATTTTAGCAATGAAATATGGACGGCACAGTTACATAACTTGGCAATAGAGTGTACCTTGTATTGATAAGTAAGTGTAGAAATTATGAAGCCTTTAGTACAGATACAACTTAAGGTTATGTCCAACTTGCTGATCATATTCATTTTGAAAGTGCTGAAAAGGGCAATATCTTGGAATAAATTGAAGCCTTAGTTATGTAACTTGACCAGATCATGTACTTTGTGTTTATTAGTAAGTGTGTAAATTATGAAGTCATTGGTATAGGTAGAACTTAAGAAAAATCTAACTTGGCATTTAAGGAAAAATCTAACTTGGCATTTTAGGTTAACCTTGTATGGACAGATGGAAGGACAGTTCAATAACTATAATGCCTGGAGGCATAAAAACAAAAAAGTAAAAGCAGGAACTTACACAGGTTCTGGACAATCAATTTTAAGTATATTTACAAGAAATTACGTTTTAAAGTACAGAAACTAAATATTACTTTATGAGGCACAAGAACTTACTTTAAGTACAGGTCATGCTCTTTTTCAACATCCAGGAATTTTTTTAAAGTAATAAGACCTACTTCTTCAGTACAATAACTTACTTCTTTAGGTACAGCTCTAGATATTTATTCCATGAAGTACAGGAACTTGTTTCTTTGAGTGCAGGAACATACTTCTTTAAAGTAAGAATTTACTTCTTAAGGGTACAAGAATTTACTTCTCTAAAGTACAGAAACTTATTTCTTGACTTCTTTATCACATGTATAGGAACATGAACTTACTTTTTTTTAACCATTACCCTGCTGAAGGCAAAAGTTTTTAGTCCATGCAGTCTGACCTGAGGCTCTATACTGTTGGCTGGCCAAATTCAAATTCTCAACTTGATATCCCCAATAATTTATTATGGACTGTTCCAAAATGGAAATTGGAAAAGTCCATTTAAGAAATTCAGCAGGTTAAGGGTAAAAATACAGGAATTATTAATTCTTATAGGAACTTACTTCTTTACAGTCATAAGAGCATAAAGTTATTTCTTTAATCAAGAACAGTGAGGAACTACCTTCTTTAACTTGAGGGTACTTACTTCTTTAAGTTCATCAATTTTAGTTCTAGCTTTCCTCTGTTCAGTAAACAATTCTTGTTTGGTAGTATCAAGCTGTTGTATCAACTCATCTCTCTCAGCATGTATGGCATCTAGATTCCTTAATCTACTCTTCATCTTCTCATTCTCTCCTATTATTTGTACAGCCTGTAAAAATAAAATTATACAATGTATTATAGTAAACATTTTACCATTATTTGTACAGCCTGTAAAAATTGTTGTGCACAACTAGAGATGGTACTGATCACTTCCTGTAAAGTTTGGTTGAAATCCCACCAGTAGTTTGATAAGATTTTTCTATTTTTAGCTCTGGCGGCCATTTTGTGCAGCAAAGCAGACCGTGCTGGTGATGTGCACAACTAAGCATGATCTGATCACTTCCTGTAAAATTTGGTTGAAATCCAACCAGTAGTTTGACCTGTAAAGGCCGGACAAACTTAATGTGGACAGACAGACAGACAGACAGACAGACAGACGGTGAAGGCAAAAACAATATGTCTCCCAAAAATTTTGGGAGACATAATAATAAGATTATGACAGTACATTCTGTGACAATTTGATTCACGACAATTATGCTCTATGATGACCTGGATGTGGGAAAACTCATTAAACAAACAAAAATAAATCAAGAAAAATTTCGTACTTTAAATATTGTATAAAATTTGTCACACTTACATTACACATGTACTAGACAAAACATGATTATGATTTTATAGTGAAGACATAAAAAATTATTTCATTTCAAGATCTATCCTTGTGATTGTGAAGGACATATATTTTTCGTATCAAATGATTAAACTTCACATTGTCAACAAGCAATTTAATTCCATTCATGCCAATTAATTTAACTATTCAATACAAACTGAAACATATAAACTAGACTATAGTTTAAATTATCTATAATATATATTATATATAGATGTACGGACTGACATCAAGCATTTACAAAATGTAAAATATTGAATTGTCTTTTGTGTGTATAATTATATCATGTTACATGATACTTCGAATATTGAACAGATTTTGGCTTGTGAATCAGTGCTTGATTTTGTAAAGTTTTCCTATCAGGGGATAGACTGGAATTCACTTGTCAGACGAGAAACATTAAAAATACTAAACTTTGTGTATTTGCAAGCAGGATAAATCATTGTGAGTTTATAATATTATTTTGAAGTTTTTGAAGTTAATAAAACTCAATTTTACATCATCTTATTTATGAACATTATAACATTGACCTACAATAACCTTGACAATAATTTTCTTATACCCCACCCACATCTTTCAATGGATCAAGTAGAGATTAGAATCAAAGATTTTGCAATTATTAATGTGAAGGCATTTAAGGTGATGAAATAATCTGGAATCATACAAATTACTTGGAGCTAGGGGGTAACATATTTTATTGGGCAGTAGCAACCAAGGTTAAAGAATCTAAATCAAATTTCTTCTTTGAAGAAATTTGTTGCTGGTCATAAATAACTGTATGCTATTTGTGTATTCTAGGTGAATAATGGCTGTTCCTGGTAAAAAGGCATCTAAAAAATTCTCATCTACACTATCTCAAGGTGGTGCTGAAGATTTTGACATTTATTGTGAAATATGTGACAGAGCTGATATCAGGCTTCCTGCCTTTGGTTACTGTGTAGATTGTGAGGAACACTTATGTCAATCTTGCTTCAAAACTCACAGACTACCAAAACCACTACGCCATCACCAACTTTTAGATAGAGATCATATGCCACAACAACAAAAACTCCATGGATCATCAAAATCTACTTCCAATCCACAGACTGGTAATCTTACAAAGCCTTGTACTAAACACACCAAAGAAGTGATTAAATTCTACTGTCATGACCATCATGCTCTTATATGTAATGTATGTGTGACCCTTGAACACACACCAACATCCTGTCATGTTGACTACATACCAGACATATCAGGGCAGATTTTAGACAGCACTGAGTTCAAGAAAACTCTGAAAGATATTGATAAATTGACAAACAAATGCTATCAGATGACAAGTGACCTGAAACAAAGAGTTGGTATATCAACAACTTCTCTGAAAGATGCTATAGCAGAAATTGAAAATTTTAGAAAAGAGATAAACAAGAGATTAGATGAACTAGAAAAGGAGGTTAAAGATACTGCTACAACAATCCAACAAGACAACAACAAAAAGTTGAAAACAACAGAAACAACATGTGATGACATCAACAAATCACTTCAAGCATCAGCTGATACTCTGAAACATCTCAATTCAAACAAGAAAACTGACCAACTGTTTACTGAACTTAAGAGAGCTCAGCAACTGATTCAAGATAATAACAATATAATATCACAACTACCAACAATCAATGACATTGATGAGTACATCTTTGAACCAAATCAAGCTATCAAGAAATTCTTTCAAGATGAGAAATCATTAGGAACATTGAGCAGTAAGAATAAGAAACAGCCAGCTGAACAAAAGAATCAAGGTGCAGTAGCAATGAAATTGTCTACCCCTAGAAAAATCAATGCTAAATCATCCTCAGATGAAAGAATTGTTGGATTACTGGTATAGCTGTTTCACCTCAAAATCAAATATTTGCAGCAGATTTTGAAAATCAGTCTATTAAAATGATAAACATCAATAGTGGAACAATAAAACAATTAAAGCTTGACTCAAAACCCTGGAATATCACCATTGTCTCCAGTGATTTACTTGCTGTTACATTACCGAGTAGAGAAACAATACAGTTCATTTCATTCTCCCCAGACTCACTCTCACTGAAGAACAAAATGAAGGTAGATGGATATTGTCAAGGTATCAGTCATCATCAGGGAAAACTTGCAGTCACATTTAAAGATCCTGCTAAACTACAAATCATTGATTTGAAAGGTAATACTGCAATTACAGTTGATAAAGATTCCAAAGGTTACAATATATTCAGTTCTCCTGAGTTTGTCACAACAAACAGTCATTCAATCTATGTATCTGACTGTCGCAACAATGTAGTTCTACGATTCAACTGGCAGGGAGAGATGATAGGATCAGTAGGAATTAAAGGACCAAGGGGTATAACACTGTTACATGATGGGTCTTTCTTAGTGAATGGTTGCTCAAGTGATTGTATATACAGAGTAAGTGGTGACTTTAAAGACAGTAAAGCTATACTGGAGGATGTAGATTTTACTCAAGCTGTATGTTGGTGTGCTGACACTAGTACACTTTGTGTTAGTAGATTTATGGAGGACAATGATGACAATTATATCAAATTTTATAAAATGATGTAAAGGACATGACAAGATATGGTACAACACTAACAATGGGATAAACACATCAGACCATCATCATTCATTCAAAATTTAATTTCTGAAATTATTGTTACATTATATCACATAATTATAACTTAGTTTTGTTGATCTATGGATCCAGTGTCAGATAAACATTTTTTTAACAATTTAACAATTAATGTATCTATTGTGTAAATGTGAAAAATTATAGTAGAATACAAACAGATGTTTGCAAAATTGTGCTCAAAAATACAACATACTAATAATATGAACATAACAAATCTGCAACTTTTGAAAATTTTCATCATTAACATGAATCATTTGCTTCATTGATTAATTTGTAAAGTTTACATGATATAAAAGATAATTTTATTTTCCATTGATGTATTGATACAAGTTTTTTTGTACACAAATAAACTGAGTAAGATGTAATGCAACCAACAAAATATTTGACCCCAGTTTTTATGTTTAATAAAAAATAAAAAAAAATAAAAATAGTAGAATTATAAAATAAAAAAAGGAAATGTAAATTAAATACATTTGTAATATTGTTATGTATGAATGAGAGTGTGTATGTTATCTATTTTAATATTTATGTCTAATTTCATATTTAATGTAATATTTTCAAGATATGATCATATTGTTGATTACATGTACCGGTATCTATTTCTTAAGATGTAAAAAGACATAAGGCATATTTTAAGTTAAGTTTATCTTAACTTATATCAAACTTAATAAATAGTAATGAATACCTATAATTACAAATTATTATACGGACAACAACCACTTTAAAATGTCCTGTATTCCTAGTTTTTTATGTTTCTAGAATCTAATTAATTCAATTACAGTAAAACTAATAAAAGTTTCACCCATAACACAAACCCTCTGAGCAACAGACACCCCTCTACAACAGTCAACAAACTGTCTGGCTGTTGTAGAAAGGTTTTACTCTAATAGCACAAGAAGATGTACATGTGATTAAAGAAAAGGATGAAAAATGTTCATATCAATGTAAATTAAATATTACATATCCAGTTTTGTACATTATCATCATGAAAATGTCAATAAGATGATTGTTGTTTTGCATGACATGTTTTTTTTGTTTATAATTCATCATTTCATGTAAATACAAAAAAAAAGATTAAATTTTATGAAAAATATTACTTTCTTAGCTTTTCTCTTTCAATTTAAAGGAAAAAACACTGCAAGTACATAATTAGAATGTGGCAATGACTATCTGTCTCTTGTAAGAAAAGAAAATTTTATGCCAACAATGTTTTTGTAGGGTTAAAGATGTTAAACTTCATATAACATTTTATTAGTCTTTATATTAGTCAATTAATGTAGTCTTACTGTAATGCTTTCCTGCTATTGGTCAATATCGTAATTTGTTTCTTTGTTTGATTGGGTTTTACGTCACACCAACACAGTATAGGTCATATGGCAATGTTCCAGCTTTACTGGTTGAGGAAGACCTCAGGTGCCCTTCCATGCATTATTTCAGGCACAAACGGGCACCTGAGTAGAACCACCAACGTTCCGTAAGTTAGCTGGATAGCTTCCTCACACAAAAAATCCAAAGTCCCAGTCAGGATTTGAACCCACAGCGGTGAAGGGCAAGTGGTTTGAAGTCAACGATCTTAACCACTCCGCCATGGACGCCCTAAATATCGTAATAAAACGGTCAGATTTTATAACATTATTTTTTATCCTGTTATAACTTGAATTCATTACATAGCGATAAAGGATGAGTGATTGTGAATATTCTAATGCCCAAGATTTTGAAAAATAGCATTCCGGAAACAAATGATTTGTTACGATATTGGCTGATGTTAGAATTTTTTGGCGGGAAAGTATTACAGTAAGACTACCTTAAGGTTAACATTGGCTGTGTTATATAAATTACTGACCTCATCTTTGGTGAAACCTATGGCATCAAACTGTTTAAGCTCCTCCATTCTGCTCTTTGTTTGCGTGTCAAGGTTCTGAGCCTCGGCCTGTTTCCTCTGTAGATCATTCGATATACGGGCAAGTTGTTTAGAGGAGTTCTCTTTCTTATATTCAGATAACATCACCTGCGTTCTGTTGAAGAAACAGGGAATATAAATAATATACTGAATTTATTGAAAGAATTGAATACAAGACATGCCCATGGGCAGAAAGTCAAGCTTGCCCGTCTTAATTCAAACCTGAACCTATAAGCTTCAGAAAAAGGAGAAAGATGTATACATAGGTGAGACACAACCTTTTTACACCCAAGGCAAAATCTTGACATTGCATCATCTTAGGTGACCTTGACCTCTGACCTGGTGACTTGGTTCATGTGCATGACAGGATGTCTCATGATGAACATTAAATTTTGTGCCTAAAAACCTCAATACATGTTATTTGAAAATTGCCACAAAGAAGTTATGGCATGGACAAGTTTGGATACACGCATGCACACACAAACACAGAACAGCCATCTAGCCTAGCCAAAGCGGGTTCGACAAAAATATTCTGACTACATAGCACAATACTTCAAAGCAAAAGCAAGAAACAGTGCAGACAACCAATATTTGACCATTGACCTCTTGTGACCTGGAGATTAATTTTGCGCAAGACAACTCAACTCTTTACGGAGAATATTTGTGCTATGCTATATTAAAATCCATCTATGTACATGTATATAGAAGTTATACTCGCAAATGACAAACAAATTGTAATATTTTTATTTGACCTTTGACCTCATGTAATCTTGACCTTCTTTTTGTGCAAAACAACTCAACTCAACATGAAGATTATTTGTGCTAAGTTATATTAAAATCCATCCATGTATGTAGTTGTACTCGCAAATGAATGTTTTATTTAGTTATTTAACCTTTAACCCTAAGTGTGACCTTGACCTCAACACAGACACCTGAATTTTTTGCACGGCACTCTGCCTCGCTATGGAGAACATTTGATCCTAGTTACAGTTGACTCTCGATAACTCGAAATCCAAGGGACTGGGCATTTTACTTCGAGAGAAACGGAATTCGAGTAACGTGGATCTGCCGCCATTACATTGACATTCGTACATGTATATACATGTACCTGATTGAATGTGCAAAGAAGTATGTTTGTTATTGTTGATAGCGGCAATGCTGCAATATTTAACCGTTGAAATGACTGTAAATCACTTACAAATGCAAATTATAAATTAACAAAAATATATTATTCAAAATTTAATACATGGATATTAATAGTGAAATATAAACACAAGCATTCGTAGCAATGACATAAATGCAAGTTTGTCAGTATTCATCAGTAACGCACATGCTTTTAATACGCACTCATGATAATTAATTACAATAAAAGCACAATAACACATTCATTTCAACAACAATTTATCTAATGTTTGAAGTAAATTGATCATCGGACTAAAACTAAAGTAGCAACTATCGTGAACCGGAAGTACATATTAATGTATGCAATATGACGGAACATTAATTATACAAATGTCATTTACGTTGAAAACACACATCAATACCTAGGCAGGCACAATTAAATCAATTAAATCTTGAATTACTTATCTAACTGTTAAAACTAATTAAGTCCTAAATCCGATTAAAGCCACTTTCACGACGTGCTAATAATACATGATGACCGGCAATTAAAATTACTATGAAACGTGTGAATCACGAGTGACAACATCTCAACTTGATGTCGCCGACCTTTGATCAGTCGGCTGCTTTCAAACTTCGACTAATTAATATGAAAATATGTTGGACTTTAATTGACGGGACCAAATTTTCTTTTCGACTAAACAGGAGTCTCGGTAAGTCAAAATTTGACCTAAGCGGAGTTAAAATACAAAGATAAAGAAGGAAATTTGACGGGACTTTAGAAATTCTTCGACTTACGCGGAATTTTGAGTAAAGCGATTTTGACTTATCGAGAGTCAACTGTATATTAAAATCGCTCCATTCAAGTGGAAGTTACAGAGTTGACCCCTAAGTGTGACCTTTGAGCTGCCGACCTGGGTTTTGTGTATGACACATCACCCCTTCATGGTGACATTTGTACCAAATTATTTTGTAATCCTTCAAGGTATGAGCAAGATATAGACTGGACAAATCCAGACGGACGCATGGACACACATACGGATGAACATACACCAAACTATACGCCAAAAGTGGCGACTAAGTGGAGCTCACCACAAGCAGGCTTGACAAACATTATATTTTGTGACCCTCTGGCAATCAAAAAATTGTTTTATTCAATGAGTTCATTAAACTCAATAATGAACCTGCACAAATATAATATTCTATTATCACATACCCAAAATAAAGACTGTTTAAAGTGCAAAAATATCATTTTGAATCATTGACATGCCTATAGTGTAATGCCAATATTTAGCCTGTCCTAACACTATGTTTCTATGAAGCAAATGATGTCATGTCAAAATATATGCACAGCTGTGCAAAACCATTTTTATGGAGTTGCAAAATTGGCACATGTATTTGATAAACATGCTTTATCATTAATACCACATAATATTGCAAATTTATTTTTCTTAGTGAAAAAAACATACAAAAAAATACAGAATCTTAAGTATGAAACAAGACAGTATAGTAACATTTTTTTGCTATATTCTTGTTTTCATTGAAAATCAAATTATAATTTATTGTTCAACATCTACAATGATATACATGTCTGCAAGGTATACAGAATATTCAGCTTCTCAAATCTAAGACTTTCAGTGTTTATGAATACAACAGTCTTCACTTACAGCAAACTAAAAAATAACACATACTTGTTTACATAGAAAATTTTTGCTGGGTCTCATTTGTGATATTAAAGTTGTATATAAGATTCTTACTATCCATATTATTTATAAGAAATCACAAAATCTAATATAGAATACAAAAATGTCAAGGTCCCAACGAGCTCTAGGTATGCGATTTTTATGGTTAACCTGGCCTTAATTTGCTATATCAATAATATTAGATTGGACAGGTTTGATTAGAGCCTAAAACTGTTAAAGGGGCATCATTTTTCAGTGCTTTTTATTAAACAATTAGGAAGCTTTTAAGTTAACAAAGGGGAATAATTCAGCATTTTCCATAGGCTTACTATAAGTATGGGTGATAATTATGACTGTAACGACATGAGTCAAGTTAAAAATGAATACCTTTAGTGGTTTTGGAGAAGAATTAGCATGTAAAACCTGAACCAGGAATTCCACAAGGTGTATAATACAATCAAAATATCATCCTACAGTTATGGGTCTTGCATTAAAGTGAGCTGCAGTTATTCCCTAATTACAAATGTAGATGTATGTGACTCCTGGACCAAATGTCAATGCCTAGTCTGAGGTCAGAAGCCTAATTTTATCATCTAGCACAAAATGTTTACTCTCAAAATCAGTAAATTCAGAAGTAATACAAATTTATATACTTTTTATGTAGAAGAAACTTTTTGCTCAAAGTTTAACTACCACTTGCCCCTTACCTCTTTGGGTTTAAATCCTGACTGGGACTTTGAATTTTTTTTTATGTGAGGAAGCTATCCAGCTAGCTTACAGAACATTGTGGGTTCTACTCAGAGTGCCCATTTGTGTCTGAAATAACGCACAGAAGGGTGCCTGAGGTCTAATCCTCCGTCAGCAAAGCTGGAGTGTCACCATATACTGTGTCGGTGTGATGTAAAACCTAATTTTATTGAACTACCACGTGACCAGATTTTCCATGAGAGAACGGAAACGTGAAGGTCAAGGTCATTACGGAAAAATTACTAGGAAAGGGTCGTTCTTTAGATACTAATACTGTGAAAAAATCGATAAATAAACGCGGAAAGTTGTTAATTTGGGAATAAAATAATTAATATCAGGAGTGAAATTTTAATTTGACACTTTTTTGTTGCAAAAAGACACTGATCAATTAATAAAAGTAACGGATTCAATTGGATTTTGTAATTTACAAATTCGACTAAAAATTGTGCATGGCCGAAATGGCCGAAATGAACAAATTGTCGGCTCAATTAAGAACTATTAAACGGGCGCAAGAATTAGCGCGAGTCAAAGCTGGGAAAGCCAGTGAGACACCGGGAAATCCGGATGAAATCTCAGAAAATATGAATTGCGAAACGCAATTAAATAATGAACAATGCGTTTCACCCGAAAGGGTAAACAATGGGGGGAATCCCCAGTCGCTAGAACGAGATGCTGGAGAAATTCCAGAACGAGGCTCGGAGCACATGGCGGCATGCGCAGACAGCAGTGGATTGTGGGGAAGGATTTCCTCAATGGAAGAATCTTTCCGGAAACGGGAAGAAGCGCAGACGGAAATCTTAGCAAATATAGTGCTGAACGTTGCAAAAATGCAACAAAATATGCAAAAAGAAAGAAATGGCCAACAGTCGATTATGACTGCAACGGAAAGCAACACCCCTGCTACAATAAATCACGATGGATTAGACGAATTGTTAAGTGAAACCGAAAGTACGGTAACGAGTGGTGACAACGTTGACAATGAATTTTTGGCAGACTTAATGAATGACTATGAAACTAAAACGCAGTTTGGGCCTAACGTAAATGAGACATTAGGGAAACTTGTTTGCAACGCTATCGACAGTGCGTTGCCAGAAGAAGAAGACAAAAAATTAAGAGAAAAATACCTAATCCCGGAAAACTGTCAAAACTTGAGAGTTCCCAAAGTTAACTGGGAATTATGGACTGCATTTAAGTAAAACGAGCATCTGACTTGGCATTGCAATCAACACAGAGCTATTTGAGTTTAGCAATTGTACCAGTTATTAAATCTCTTGAACTGCTAATGGAAAAAGGGGACATTAAGAAAGTAAAAGAGTTGACCAAAGATACGTTCAGATTATTGGCTCAAGGCATTAATGTGGCTAATCGAAAGCGTAGGGCTCTTATAAGACCAGCAATACCAACAAAGTATCGCAAGGTGTGTGAAGGGGAAGAAAAAACCACACAATTTCTCTTTGGTAATGACTTAGACTTAAAGGTGGAAAATTGTGAGAAGGAAGAAAAGCGTGCACAGAAATTAGGTGGCCACCAGAATAGTGTCACAACAAGTAAATCGAAGCCTTTTTTAGGCCAACGATTCCCGAAAGGGAATCAATTTCAACCACCGCAACAGTCGAATCAAGGCAATTACAACCCATCATAGGGGAGAAATGCCCATCGAGGAAAATTCCAGGCCCAAAGAGGGGCATATTACAGGAAGAAATAACTGTAAGTAAAATTTTCGAGTTATGAATACTCCCGAGAATTTTTATGGAGGAAAAATTTCAAAATTTGCAAAAAATTGGACAAAATTGTCTACTGATCCTTGGATATTAAACACGGTTTCTGGTTTTAGAATAGATTTAGATTCTAAGCCAACCCAGTTTTTTGTACCAAAAGCAATTGAATTGAATAACATTGAGAAAAATCTTGTAGATGTTGAAATTCAAAAATTTTTAGATAAGAAAATTATTGAAGAGGTTAGTTCGGACGAATGTGGTCAGTACTATTCTAACATATTCATGAGACCTAAGAAAGATGGTAGTGTGCGAATTATTTTGAACTTAAAAGCTTTCAATGATCATGTTACAAAGTGCCATTTTAAAATGGAAACTCTAAAATCAGCAATAGCTAATATTCAACCCAGGGATTATTTTGCGTCTATTGATTTAAAGGATGCATATTTTAGTGTTCCTATTCATGTTGAACATAGAAAATACCTTAGATTTATTTGGCAGAACAAACATTATCATTTTATTACTTTGCCACAAGGACTAGCGTGTAGCCCTCGGGTATTCACTAAATTGCTAAAACCAGTTTATGCATTTCTTAGAAAGAAAGGGTATTCTAACATACCTTATATTGATGATAGTTTGTTAAAAGCTAAAACATACCATTCCTGTGAACAGAATGTTTTAGAAACTATTAATATTATGGATAACTTGGGCTTTTCAATACACCCTGAAAAATCTGTGTTTAAACCATCTCAAATAATTGTGTTTTTAGGATTCATTTGAATTCAGAAAATATGACAGTAAAAATGACACCAGAACGAATTTCAAATTTAATCGAGTTATGTCAAAAAGTACTTACTCAGCAACATATTACTATTCGTGAATTTTCTAAAGTTATTGGGAAGATGGTGGCTAGTGAACCAGGGGTAGATTATGCTCCATTATTTTATAAAGATTTAGAACATGAAAAAGATGAGAAACTTGGTGTTTTCAAGGGTAAATTTGACCAAATGATAACATTAACAAATGAAAGCAAAGACATTTTATACAAATGGATACAATTTCTACCATTAGCGAAAAAACCTATTATAAGAAATGCCCCTGGTGTCATTTTATTCAGTGATTCAAGCAAAACAGGTTGGGGTGGAGTTAATAAAACAAACAATACAAATACTCGGGGATTATGGGATGAATTTGAAAAAGAGGAACATATTAATATTTTAGAACTTAAAGCAGCAATGTTTACTATACAATCGTTGGCTGCGGATGTTAAGAATGAACATTTGAGGATATATATGGATAATACAGTTGCAATTGCTTATATAAACAAATTTGGGGGGAAATCCTTAAATTTTGCATAAAGTAGCTAAAGAAATTTGGTGGTGGTGCAAACAAAGGAATATCTGGTTAAGTGCCGCTCATATTCCAGGGAAAGATAACTATGAAGCAGATAGATTATCTAGACAAGTTAATGAAGATATAGAATGGCAGTTAAATCCGACATATTTTAAAATGTTAGAACAGAAAGTGGGAACATTTGACATAGATTTATTTGCTTCGCATTTGAATCACCAAATATCAAAATATGTATCTTATCAACCTGATGCTAAAGCATTCGCTGTTGATGCATTTACATTGTCATGGAATGAAAAAATTTATTTGTTTCCTCCTTTCAGTTTGATCAGTCACTGTCTTCAGAAAATAATCCTCGACAGAGTGAATTCAGCGGTATTGATTGCTCCATTATGGCCAACACAGGTGTGGTTCAGTCAATTATTACAACAGATTTGTGCCCAGTCGTACATTCTACCAAAACAACAAACGTTAATTCTGCCAAAAAATCCACACAAGCAACATCCTGTTCAGAAGATGCGACTGGGAGCCTTTGTCTTATCAGGGAACAGCTCCAAAACAGAGGTCTATCAGAAAAAACTATCGAAATTATTTTTACAATCATGGAAAACATCAACAACAAAGCAGTATGGGTCTTATTTCAGAAAATGGCTGCTTTTTTCAAGTTCAAAACAAATTGATTCACTTAACCCATCTACAGTGACAGTTTTAGAATTTTTAACTGAATTATATGAAAGTGGGTTAGGCTATAGTGCTATCAATACAGCGAAATCTGCTATTTCATCTACATGCAAATTGATAAATGATAAAGATATTGGTAATGACATTCTGATTAAAAAGTTTATGAGAGGGTTATTTCTCAATCAGACCAACTTTGCCTAAATATGACAATATTTGGGATGTAAATAAAGTGTTGCAATATATTTCTAGTCTTCCTAACAATAATGAACTGAGTTTATTACAACTGTCTCAAAAATTGTCAACTTTGTTTATGTTGTTAACCGGACAAAGATGTCAAACAATTCATTTAGTAAAATTGTCTGATTTACAGATTTGTAAAGAACAAGTAGTTTGTCACGTATCAGAATTAGTGAAACAGTCTAAACCTGGGTTACATGTGAAACCAATGCAAATTCGTAGATATTTCAATGATCCAAAATTATGTTTAGTGAATACATTGGAAACCTACATTATAATTACATCTAAACTTAGAGGGACTGAACTCAAATTGTTTATTTCAACAGTAAAACCCTTTAAGGCAGTGACTAAAACTACAGTTGCTAGATGGATAAAGCAATTAATGCAACAGTCTGGCATTGATGTGAACAAATTCGGTGTTCATAGTTGTCGTGCAGCATCAACATCAGCTGCTGCAAATAGAGGTGTTCAAATAGACTCTATAATGAAGGCAGCTGGATGGAGTTCAGCAAAAACGTTTGCTCTATACTATAACAAAACTGTTGAACAATCTTTTTCAGATGTAATTTTAGATGGTACAAACATTTAAAATAATGGTGGTTACATTATGATTTGTTTATTGTATGCGTTATAACAAAATGAATTTTACACATTCAAGGGAGTTAATAAACATGTTCTGAATTAGTTTTATGTATAGCATTTGTCTCCCTTATTTTTGAGAAATGTATTGAATGATGTAAATATACTAGAGTAAATATATAGAAAAGATGTTTACAAGTTGTGAATGTTATTCAATTACAATTGTCTGAATACAAATAGGAAACTATATATTTACTGTTTTTGTTTAATAATAGATGATAAACTACTATTGCTTAGCTCTGAAATCTCATGGAAAATCTGGTCACGTGGTAGTTCAATAAAATTGGTAAATTAATCGAGACTTGTTGAAGATTGATTAAGATTTTATTGAACTACCAGTGACTTAGATTTTACATGCCCACCCATCAATATATATGGAATACACATTTTGGTTGCCCAACCCGAAGCAATTTAGTTTATCATTTATACAGTAGCTCTGAAGAATGACCTTTACCTTCACGTTTCCGTTCTCTCATGTAAAATCTAAGTCACTGGTAGTTCAATAAAACCTTAATCAATCTTCAACAAGTCTCGATTAATTTACCAATTAACAAACAAAGTTCAACTATACCTGACATCCTCAAACTGGGCTTGCACCTCCTTTAAATTTTTCCGGGCCTCGACCAGGGCACTCTGTGTCACTTCAAGGGCACTCTGTGTGGCTTTCAACTCAGCTGACCTTTCCTGAAACAATTGTAAATATATAGAGGATATTTAAGTTTTTCTATAAATACAGGATTTATTTTCATGGAGTGGTATGAAAATAAATATTTCAAGAATGGCAGTCGCCATGAGTAAAATATGATAATTGCTATACCACATGATAAAAATAAATCCAGAACTGTATTTATAGAAAAAACTTGAAATTTCTGTTTACTATATACATTTTTCTTTGTTTTGACATTTCAATTTCAAAGACGTTCTCTTAAGTTTTGTGTATTGGCTGAATTGAGAAGAAAGTAGTCTGGCAAGACACCATTGAAAATACAGAAAATGTGTTTCACTGCAGTGACAAATATATTTTTACAGTGAAAATACAGAAAATGAAAGTATGTTTATGATAAAATCAATTTTCTATAATTGACAACTTTATTATTGACATATTCTGAATATTTTGTAATGTGCAGTCATGCATGTGTTTAACCCAGTTCAACAAACAATGCAGTGTTTCATAAAGTTTGTCTGCTTCACACAAAATATTAATCATGAAGTTTCACCATTAAAATTTTAAGCAGACATATAGAACATAAATACAGTAAACTCCGCTTATAACGAACTCATTGGGACATTCAAAAATCTGTTCCTTATATCCGGAGTTCCTTGTTAGCATAAAGCGAATAAATTCCTTATATCAGGAGTTTTTATAGCGAACAGATTTACATATAACGAACTGTTTATTCCATTTTGAAGAGCATTTGATTTAGAAAAATTAGTCATTTATTCTTTTTAGACACAATACCCGAGAGGGTACTTTTGGAATTTGAAAAACCTTTGGTATTTCAGTTTTAATTTTACTTCTTTTTCATTTATCATAAAATATCATATTTTGTTTATTAACTCGGTGCTTTTCGTTTTCTTTCCATGATGAATAAACAAGATTTACCATATTTCCTTCCTTTTATATTGAATATCTTCTATTATATTTTAAGGGTGACTTTTAATTATGAAAGATATAGATTTCTTTTTATTTCAATCAAACGTACTTTGTAGTTTTCAATGGATTAGCAAGCATGCGTGATTATGTTCAAAATCAATTATAAATTATCAAAATTATTTTACTCGAGGAAACCTATTAAAGAAAAGAAATTATACAATAAAAGGAATAACCGTTTTATTTCGGTGACAAGAACTCGTGCTTAAAATTTCCTAAATATAGTGTATTGAAGTACAGACAACAATAAACGATAAACGGTACATTCGGGCGAGTTTTAATCCGTGCCTACAAATAAGGAAGTTGAAAATGTGGGATAAATTTATGGATAGCCGATATTTTGGAGTTCGCTATAAAAGTGTAATTTTCTGTACTTTTAACTGAATTGGGACTAAGAAATGAGTTCCTTATAAGCGATAATTCCTAAATATAACCGTGTTCGCTATAACCGTATATTTTCATATTAAATAAAGAAGGGCAAAATTCAGGCCAAAATAAATTGTTCCTTATAACCGGAAGTTCGCTTTAACCGTGTTCGCTATAAGTGAAGTTTACTGTACATTAATTATACATAGTTTCATAATTGATATACATGTATGTTAGTAAATAAACATCTCCAAAATTTCAATTTATTGTCAAAAATGCGTAAGAAAGAAAAAAACATTAAAATTTCAAGGGATGAGTATATAATCAGTACATTGATTGTTTGCACAAATTAGGCCTTTCATAGCCTTATGGATCATTGTTTAGCATTGTGGAACATTGATGAGCATTGTGGAACAGTCTTAAGCATTGTGGAACATGGTGGAGCATGGTGGAATATTGTTGAACATGATGGAGCATCTTAGAACATGGTGGAATATTGTTGAACATTTTGTGGAACATTGTTGAGCATTTTGGAACATTGTTGGGCATTGTGGAACATGGTGCAACATAGTGGAATATGGTGGAACATTGTTGAGCATTTTGGAACATTGTTGGGAATTGTGGAACATGGTGCAACATAGTGGAATATGGTGGAACATTGTTGAGCATGTGGAATATTTTGGAGTGACTACACAATGCTCATCATATCTTTCAAACTTGAGGGAACTTTCAGTGGTGGAATTAATATAAACACAATATTTTAAAATCCATATGAAGTACTAAAAACAATTCTCAGACACTTCAACTTCGAGGCAAGTAGTCACAAGTATTGGAAATATAGAAACATGTCAATACTGTATCAATTTGAAAACAGTCTGAAAATTTTATCAATGCAATTTTCATCTTATTGAGAATAAATAGCACGAAATTAAACATAGACTTAGATTTTAAATAAAGGATATATGTATGATGTAAAAACAAATTCTGATGTGTCATATGATGTCTGTTATAAAGTCAATTAACTTTATGATGTCAAGTGAATAACATCTCTTATGGATATTCTTCAACATATCCCAATTAACTTTCTTTTGTGTAAGCATTCTAGATGAGAACAGTGCAAAATTATCAAACAATATGCTCAAAGTTCTTTGCATCTTGAGTATGCATTTTAATGTTCCAATTCCAAGACATACAATGAAAATATATTTTGGGGAGAGTACAATATAAATTGCTATCGGATTTGATAATGCCTGCAAAATTGTGACTGCTTTTATTTACTCGATTTCATCAGCTGATATATGAATTGAGTGTAGGACAAAAGCCCTCCCATCAAAAAGTGACAAGGTGGACAAAAGCCCTCCCGTGAAAATAACAGGGTGGACATAAGCCCTCCCCCTGTAAAAATGACTTGGCGGACAAAAGCCCTCCTGTGAAAATAATAGGGCGGACAAAAGCCATCCCGCAGCAAATACATATATGTAAGTTGAATAGTTAATATTTTCATTTCAATGCACTCAACATATTAAATTTGTAATCATGGATATTTTTGTTTTCCATTGGCGTAAGCGTGTTTGCATGAGCTTCAGCGCATTCCTGACTGGCATCTGAATAATTAGTGCTAAACTCTGTAAATGCATATTTATTCACGAAGATATGAACGATTGCTTCTATGTAAAGTTAAGATTAATAGAGAATAAATGATGAAAAGAAGTTAAAATGATCTAACTTGAAAAGTTAAAGACATATATAATGTGCCTTGTCATGAGTCAATTACTGTTAAAATTTACTTTGTTTTTAACGGCATTCGTGTAAAAAGTTACCTTGTTAAACATTTCTGGAAGGTATATTCAGATTAAAAGGTGGCTCTAGCTCATATAAATACTTAGGCCAATTGAAAACAGCAACAAATATATATGTAATAATTTCAATGTTGAGTGCATTGAAAAAACACAGGTATTCAACATACATATTTATTTTTGTTACGGGAGGGCTTTTGTCCGCCTTGTCAATTTCACGGGAGGGCTTTTGTCCCCCCAGTCATTTTAATGGGAGGGCTTTTGTCCGCCCTGTCATTTTCACGGAAGGGCTCTTGTCCGCCTTGTCATTTTCATGGGAGGGCTTTTGTCGCCATGTCATTTTTTGACGGGAGGGCTTTTGTCCGGAGGGCTTTTGTCCGTTTACCATATGGAATATTTTACTTGAAGTTATATTTGACATGATTGTGACTGCATTCACGTACATAATGTCATGTTTTAGATAATTGTGACTGCATTCATTTACATAATGTCATATTTAAGATAATTGTGACTACATTCACTTACATAATGTCATGTTTTAGATCATTCTGACTACATTCATTTACATAATGTCATGTTTTAGATAATTTTGACTGCATTCATTTACATAATGTCATGTTTTAGATAATTCTGACTGCATTCATTTACATAATGTCATATTTAAGATAATTGTGACTACATTCACTTACATAATGTCATGTTTTAGATAATTCTGACTGCATTCATTTACATAATGTCATGTTAAGATAATTAAGATTATTGTGACTGCATTCATTTACATAATGTCATGTTAAAGATAATTAAAATTATTGTGACTGCATTTATTTACATAATACCATGTTTAAGATAATTCAGATAATTGTGACTGCATACATTTACATAATGTCATGTTAAAGATAATTAAGATAATTGTGACTGCATTCAATTACATAGTGTCATGTTTAAGATAATTCAGATAATTGTGACTGCATACATTTACATAATGTCATGTTTAAGATCATTAAGATAATTGTGACTGCATTCATTTACATAAAGTCATGTTAAAGATAATTAAGATAATTTTGACTACATTCACTTACATAATGTCATGTTTTAGATAATTGTGACTGCATTCATTTACATAATGTCATGTTTAAGATAATTAAGATAATTGTGACTGCATTTATTTACATAATGTCATGTTTAAGATAATTCAGATAATTGTGACTGCATACATTTACATAATGTCATGTTAAAGATAATTAAGATAATTGTGACTGCATTCATTTACATAATGTCATGTTTAAGATAATTAAGATTAATGTGACTGCATTCATTTACATAGTGTCATGTTTAAGATAATTAAGATTAATGTGACTGCATTCATTTACATAATGTCATGTTTAAGATAATTAAGATAATTGTGACTGCATACATTTACATAATGTCATGTTTAAGATAATTCAGATAATTGTGACTGCATACATTTACATAATGTCATGTCAATTTTCCTTTCTTTAAATATTGAGCATACTCGGCAGTACTTCAGTTGATCTAGTACCTTTGTTTCATTCATTTTGTTGAACTAAGTTGAAGCAACTTATCATTACAGAATTATCAATATTCCATTCAACAAGATAAAAGTAATTACAATAGTTTGCTATGGAAATCAGTAATGTCATTCAATGAAGTTTGCTATTTTAAACTAGTGCACCTAAAAAAATTACTTAATACTCATTAATGGAATGAAAATCCAATAAAGGACAGTAATATCTATTAACTCTTATTCTGCAAGAACAGTTTGCTACCAGTATAGATCAATGCTAGCCTGTACATCAGTGAAGTCTGACTAGACTCTTTACTGTTTGGCGCCCTCTTTTAGTACATTGTTTTGTTTTGTTGTTTTTTTTACATCTAAAACCCTTTAACATTGAATGAACTGTGCTTAATTCTAAGCTGGGCAAATCCATTAAACAAATTCCGCAGGTCAAAAGTTAATTCTTGACAGCTGCAATAATGACCTGTCTATGTCAAAACTTGGTCAGTGACATACAATTATGACCCTCCAATTATGACCCTAAGTGCATGTGTAAAGTTTCAAGTAAATATCTTTGAAGACCTTTAACCTTTAACCAAAATTTCTAAGTTTCAAAGGGGCAAATAATTCTGCAAATATTGCAGGCAGAGTTATGCAATTTTGCAAACTGATGTAGATTGTTACTATAAAAAAGTATTTTAAATTTCAATTGAATATCTCAAGCAATAATTGAGATATTTGACATTACAAAAAAACTTTTACCAAAATTTCTAAGTTCCAAAGGGGCATAATTCTGTCAATATTGAAGGTAGAGTTATCCAACTCGCCAATCTGATGTACCTTGTTACTATAAATAAGTATTGTAAGTTTCAACTGAATATCTCAAGCAATAATTGAGATATTTGACTTTACAAAAAACTTTAACCAAAATTTCTAAGTTAAAAAGGGGCATAATTCTGTCAATATTGTAGGCAGAGTTATCCAACTTGTCAATCTGATGTACTTTGTTACTATAAATAAGTATTGTAAGTTTCAATTGAATATCTCAAGTAATAATTGAGATATTTGACTTTACAAAAAACTTTAACCAACGCAGACGCCGACGCGGACGCTGACGCCGACGCCGGGGCGACTACAATAGCTCTCATATTCTTCGAATAGTCGAGCTAACAAAAAATCACTATTCTTGGGTGCAGGAATTTTCTTACGCTGAATTCTTGTATTGTGTTTTGAATTTGGAACACTGTCCATACAAAGGTTAAGGGATTTCAATATCAAAAAACAAAAACTAAGCTACCAACAATATAGACCCTGGTTAGACTGCACATATGTGCAGACTGACTTGGCTCTATGAAGGCAACAAAGGATAACAACATTTAGTCCTAGTAGGGTAATGAGTAAGGTCAAAACTTGATATTAGTCTATAAAACTTCATGAAAAATGTCTGTGTACTTGTTACTGGCTTACAATTATGGCCCTTAGGACAAATGTTGAATCTTTAGTGAATACCATGAGCTGTTGTTGAGAGGGCTTAGACTTGCTTATAAAAACTTCAAAATTCAGTAAAGTTTATAATTCAGTAAAGATTCATTGCAGAATAATTGTTCTTGGGAATAGAAATATAGTAAAGATCCACAGGACTTGTGCATAATGTTAAATTTCAAGCAAATTCCTACTACGATAAATGGAAATTACAGATTTAAAAAGCTTGCAAGTAAAACATTCACCAAATGTCATGCCAACTATGATCTTTATGCTTAGGTTAAAGAAACACAGCTGAACACAAGGCTCTACTAGATAAGAAAAACAACCTACCTTTTCTTCATCTGACAGACTTTTACCACCACCAACACCACCATTTATGTTTGGTCTGTCCCCTTTGTCATATAAAGTCTAGAACATGAACAAACATGAGTTCATATAAACAATGAAAATGTATGGAAAACTTATGCATTCTGCTTTTCTTAGTCCAAATATTCAAAATTTGTTTTTTTTTAACAAGAAAAATATATTTTCAGAAAAATTTATAACAATCCACTTTGTCTCATTTTTTCCCTATTAAAATTAATACAGTAGTTTTAGCTTTGAAAAAAAATGCTTTACCTCTATTTTAACAATAAGAATGTTATTTATATATAATACTTATGGAGAACACTTTGTTTCTGAAATAATTAAATAACAGAAAGATGAGATTCTAAACTTAACATCTGTCATATGTAGTGGTTCCGATCGGAATATTCGTAACAAGGGGACCTGCCCATTTGGCGGTAATGAGGTAAGCCCAAACACATGTCAGATATTTTTTCTTGCATATTCTACCATATTCTATTATATTTTTAACTCTTTTCCTAGATAAAACAATTATACATGAAAATTTATGTCATTACACCCGTAACTATTTTGTCACATTAAGCGCATGAAATTATAACTTTATTCATATTGGTAAAATATCGTCATCCTGAGTGTGCCATTGTACAACACGCGACTTATCTAGCACACACCCCATGCTAGATGAAATTTCCAGCATGGGTTAAACTAACGGAAACGATACTCTGATAATTGCATGAAAAACATAAGTATTCACACAAACAAACCTTTGGTGACTGAGTGAGGGTAAGATATGTGCGTGTTGGAGAGCGTTCACGTCCTGGCGACATTGACTTTGCTCTGCGTTCACGTTCCATCTCACGTCGTATTTTGTCCGACTCTCTCGCAATCTGTCTACGCGTCTCTGCATCTGTGCCCTCGTCTTGTACAACTGGTGTACTCCTAGGACTTCTGTTAACATACAGAAACAAACACGATAAATCTTAAGTTTTACTCAATAAGATAATTATAAAGATACTAAGTAAAAAAATTTAAATTTGAATTTTTGAAATAAGATACAAATGTATAGAAAATTCTGTTTCAAACGAAAGCTGAATTATCAAACACATTGTAAACTAGGATATGACATGTTTTTTGTTTTTTTTTCAATTTATATTTTTATAATATAGAGGATATTGAATGAGTGAAGGTATAATATTAAATTTATGGGACAATTTAAATAAAATCATATTATGCGAGTCTCTGGCGAACATATAATTGTTTTATTCAACAAGTTCAACAAATTTAGTATTGAATCTACATGAATATACAAATATTATTTCATTTTAAAACGAATTCACTTATTTAAAACAAGAGCCCGGTTTGAGCCGGGTGATGCTCCCCGAATAGGTTTTGGACACAGGAAAGTACACCTCTTGTAGTTTCAGAGTTATGTCCGTGGAAAAAGTTCAAAGTGCAATAATTCCAAAATTAGGCAAGGCAGAGTTACAGTTCTTTGCACTGCACTTCTAATCAATGTGATCTATCAACCTACAAAGTTTCTTGATGATATCTCTTATGACATGGTTCATACCAAATTCTCAAATCAAAATTCAAGGACTTTTCAAGGACTTTTCAAGGTAAAATTGTCATTTTCAAGGCATTTTTTTCCCGATTGATCTTATTTAAAATTATACTTTTACAACCATATCTGTGATATACATTTTTATTGCAATTGATCTTATTTAAAATTATACTTTTACAACCATATCTGTGATATAAAACATGTAAATAAAACATGTGTATTTCAATTTAAGGTTCAAATGACTAGAATTGCAAAACAGTGACTATATTTAGAAAATCAGCACAGTCAGTAGAATATATGAACACCAAAACTGTAACATATAGGTGATTGAGTAAATTCACACAACTCTATCTAGTTTTTCCTTTCTTTTTTGGATTTCTCTTCCAATTTCCTCAACTTCCAGTTTCTTTTCTTTGAAGCCCTTTCTTAGAATGTTTGATTCAGTCACAAATCAATGATTACTAGAAGTGGGTGGGGGTGGTATTGTCATGTTATGCACAGTTTACGTTGTGGATTGGGATGGCATAATGTTATTATTTGTATCAGATCTACTGCAATTTTCAGTTTTGACATTTATAGTTCCTTCCTGTCTGACAAATGCAAGGCCACACTTCGTCAATGACGACTTGATGTCTAGATTTTTTCACAGACGCTTTGGGTTTGGAGCTCAAAACGCCTTTAAAATCCAAATAAAATGCATATTTGTCAATCCCAGGACATGTACTGATCATATATATCGAAAAATCTTAATATATGCCGTTTTGAAAAAAAATCATATTTCAACATCTATAATAATACACAAGATAAAAATGTTCGCCGGAAAAAATCCGCACCCGCACCAGACGGCTATGAACGAAGCTATCCGATTATGTGGTTCCCAAACTTAAAAGCGCTGCGCATTTTGCACACGGCAAAACAATAGCTTCGTTCATAGCCGTCTGGTCCATTGAATTTATCGAAAGTTTTTGTCGTTGAAAAAAAACGGCGAGAATATTGATGTTTATTTCGGCTGTTGCGTTGTTTATATTACCGTTGAAGTTTATAATTGACCATCATCGTGAAGAATTATATCTTCTGTGTCGATGGACCAAAGGATTATGTGAAAATATTGGAAATTGATTAAAATAAATGGTGATTATGACGGTAGGGGTGCGGATTTTTTCCGGCGAACATTTTTATCTTGTGTATTATTATAGATGTTGAAATATGATTTTTTTTCAAAACGGCATATATTAAGATTTTTCGATATATATGTTCAGTACATGTCCTGGGATTGACAAATATGCATTTTATTTGGATTTTAAAGGCGTTTTGAGCTCCAAACCCCAAGCGTCTGTGGATTTTTTAGGTGCTTTGCACCCCTCGCATGAGATGTTAATGCACTCTCTCCCATTTGCGACAAATCGATGGTTTTCATACACATGGTACATTGTGCTTTTCGTGGGTCTTGTATAACTTGTTTTACCCAACTGTATTGTTTGAGCTGAAACGTACATTTCTTAGTGTATTTTCCCATTTTTTACTTCGCAATGGAAGCTGACATTTTGTACACAATTTGCTATGACGTCATACACAAGTGCTTGTTAAAATCCGTGCCAAAACCGTAACGCTGGCTAAACACTACTAAAACAGGCGATCCAAAATGGGCGCACTCGATCGGGCTGCCTTCGTTCACATGTCCGATTTGTAGCGGAAAATTTGCCTGACCTTTACAGCGACAGGTTTTATACCCTTTTGGATTTTCAAGGCATTTTACCGAAATTCAAGGGGGTTTACTGAAATTCAAGGACAATTTTAGTGTTTTTTCAAGGCAACCCTGAATTCAAGGACTTTTCAAGGTTGAAACCAAATTCAAGGACTTTTCAAGGCCCGTGCGAACCATGTATGATTTCCGGGTAATGTCCTGGACAATTCAAAAAGTAAAAATAAACAAAGGGCAATAACTCCAGAATTAGGCAAGGTAGAGTTATGATTCTTGTGCACTGCACATCTACCCATTGAGATTTATCTACCTACAAAGTTTCATGTTGATATCTCTTATAGTTTTACAGCTATGTCCTGGACAAGATTTTTCTAAAAGGGGAGATTATTCAAAAATAAGGCTTAACAAAGTTATGGTTCTTTTGCACTGCACCTCTTCTCAACGAGATCTATCTACCTACAATGTTTCATGTTGATATCTCCTATAGTTTTAGAGTTATGCACCGGACAAGATTTTTCTATAAGGGGAGATAATTCAAAAACCAGGCAAAATAGAGTTATGGTTCTTTGACACTGCACTCCCCCTCAATGCCCTCTACCACTGTATGAAGTTTCAACAAATTATCTCAAGGTTTTCAAGTTATGTTCCGGACAAAGTTCAAAGTATTAAAATTAACAAAGGGCAATAACTCCAAAATTAGGATGAAAAGAGTTATTGTTCTTATGCACTGCACATCTACCCATTGAGATCTATTCACCTACAAAGTTTCATGTTGATATCTCCTATAGTTTTAGAGTTATGCACCGGACAAGATTTTTCTATAAGGGGAGATAATTCAAAAACCAGGCAAAATAGAGTTATGGTTCTTTGACACTGCACTCCCCCTCAATGCCCTCTACCACTGTATGAAGTTTCAACAAATTATCTCCAAGGGTTTTCAAGTTATGTTCCGGACAAAGTTCAAAGTATTAAAATTAACAAAGGGCAATAACTCCAAAATTAGGATGAAAAGAGTTATGGTTCTTATGCACTGCACATCTACCCATTGAGATCTATTCACCTACAAAGTTTCATGTTGATATCTCTTATAGTTTTAGAGATATGCCCCGGACAAGATTTTTCTGTAAGGGGAGATAATTAAAAAACCAGGCAAAATAGAGTTATGGTTCTTTGACACTGCACTCCCCCTCCATGCCCTCTACCACTGTATGAAGTTTCAACAAATTATCTCCAAGGGTTTTCAAGTTATGTTCCGGACAAAGTTCAAGGTGATATAATGAACAAAGGCAAATAACTCCGAAATTTGGTAAAAAGAGTTATGGTTCTTATGCACTGCACATCTACCCGTTGAGATCTATTTGCCTATAAAGTTTCAAGTTGATATCTCTTATACTTTTGGAGTTATGTCCCCGAAAAGATTTTTCTAAAAGGGGAGATAAATTAAAAAACCAGGCAAAATAGAGTTATGGTTCTTTGACACTGCACTCCCCCTCCATGCCCTCTACCACTGTATGAAGTTTCAACAAATTATCTCCAAGGGTTTTCAAGTTATACTCCGGACAAGACAACGGACGGACAGACGGACGGACGGACAGACGGACAGACGGACAGACGGACAAGGCGCCGACTATATGCTCCCCCGAAATTTTTCGGGGAGCATAAAAACAATTAATTGGTTTGATTTATACAGAATTTACTTTAGTTTGATTGTGTAGGAAGCTGTAAGTTTGAATCTGTTCCTGGAACCAACCAGTACTGAGCAATGAGGCCATCCTTAAAAATATGTTTGTTTGCAGTAACCCGACCCAGAATTTTCAAGGTGGGTAGGTAGGTCGATTTTTTTTTTTTTTTTTTTTTTTTTTTTTATTGAACTGTACTCCCAAAAAAACATTGAATTTCAAAAATGCAGGACAATATATGCTTTGATAATCTGGTAACAATTAATAAATTGATAACTGAATTCTAATTTAATAAGAACTACATTTTATTTCTACTATCAACCTTTAAAAGAACGAAAACAAAGCACAAGGCAAAATTTTCTGATTCAAAAAAAAAAATTTTTTTTATCCAGACCATGAAAAAAAAAATTGAGTAGGGGCAAATTTTGTGAGTCGGTCTCGTTACTGCAAACAAACATTTTTTTAAGGATGGCCTGAGTGTAAAGTTTTTTGCTCAAGAAAACGACGACTTGCCACTGACTGGGTATGAACCCTAGCGGCTAGCGATCATTATATTACTAGTCTGACGCGTTAACCACTCGGCCATGCCGCCAATTAATTAAATATCAATCAATCAATCATTATGAGTGATATCAAGCAAGTTTGCTCCATCAATGTAAAGTAAAACTTAAAATACTTATCTTATATCATGATAACTGGAGACATGTTGATTTTTTGTGTCATTAAATATTAGAATTCATAGTTAACATTTTATTATTGCTGAAAAATTGTTGTGTAACTTAATACAAAGTTTTGACATTGACTATTTAACTATATTATATGATCATTTGTTTATACGTTATGTGCATGCATGGGCATACCACAGGTGGCAATATTGTGTTGAATTATTTTTTTTCAGGGTTGCAATAAGGGTCCAGGGGCAGGGTGGGGTGAGGTGTCCAAACACTGATACTGCCACCTGTGGGGCATACTGCCTGGATGTATTCTGAAATAAACTCTAACTTGT